ATGGAGGAGTGTGGGCTAATTCTATACTTGCTAATGATTTGGAACACGGAGAAGCAAAGCTTCCCCCTCTAAAAATGCTACCTGGAAGTGATATAAACTTCCCTCATGTATTTGTAGCAGATGAGGCATTTCCCCTCAAATCTTATCTTATGAGACCGTACCCACGTTCGGCATTGCAAGATAAACAACGAGTCTTTAATTACAGGCTCTCTCGTGCGCGAAGAGTCATAGAAAATACTTTCGGTATTCTCGTATCTCGATGGCGCATTCTCAGAAGACCTATATGCCACTATCCTCATAATGTAGAAGTTATAATTCAAGCATTAGTGTGTCTACACAATTTTATAATGACAGAGCAAAGTAAGGATACATTCCAGCGTCGTAACTACTGTCCTTCTACTTATGTAGACCATGACAATGAAAATGGGGACATAATTCCTGGAGCTTGGAGGATTGAAGAAAATCAAAGAGGACTGCAAAGAATTAAACGAACTGGTTCTAATAATCCAGCTAGAAAAGCCGCTCAGTTCCGGGATACGCTTTGTGACTATTTTATATCAGAAGCTGGTGAAGAAGCTACTCCTTGGCAGTATGAGCAAGCATTTCGTGGGTTTTTTTAGAAATAAAATTTGTCATATAAGATTAATAAATATAATAATACATATATAAATAATAATAAATATACAGATAGTAATAAGATAATTAATAATCGATATATGTATAGTAATAGAATAGAGTATATTGCTGGTGAAGATTGATTGTTCTCTATTTTTATTGCTGGTGGAAAAGATGAGGCGCTTGGCCTTTGATTATCTCTTTCTTTACGATGTTTAATATTGTTCTGAGGAAAATTTGATTATTATGCATCAGTTAATAATGTAAGATAAGATTAGTAATAGAAATTCTTTTATACTAGAAATTAAAAAAAATTAAAAATATATTCCACTATAAAATACTTTGTAACATATTATAAGATTATATTCTTGTGACACTTCTGCCAGTGCTGATGAAACAAAAAAATAAAGCATGTGAAAGGATAATTATAGTATTTGACTTATTGACAAAATATTTATTATACTTTGGAATTGTTACATTTTAGAACAGGTATCATCTTATTACTATTACATATTTGTTTTATTATAATATTAAAGCGTTTCACAGGTACGTCATCTTATTATTATATTAAATCATTTCATACAAACAATGTTTCTTTATTATTTAAAAAATATTTTTTATTATAAAAATTAATATCATCTATATATATAAAAATTAATGTTTGTTTGTTTGTTTGTTTGTCCCGTATGCGTTCGTAAACCATTCATCCGATTGCGATGAAACTTTGATGAGTCGTTGTTCACACGCCCGTCAAGGTTTCAATGATTCGTTCGGGTCGCTACAATCGCTACAAGTGTGTGGACTAAAGGCCGTAGCTGGATAAAGAGGAGCGATCTTCCCTCGCGCCGATCATGACCATTTTTTACA